AGCAGAAAATCTGTTCCAGAAAAGTTTCATCAGTATTTAACTAAATTATTATGCCTTTGGTGTATAATACTTAGGAGGGAAAAAGTAATGCATGATAGTTGCTGCTAATTTTTTTTCAAGTGTGAGAGTTATAATAAAGTGGTTTTTGCAGAGGTGAGTCAAAGGCCTGAACTTCAGGAATTTACCTCCAAAATACATTTGGAAGAAGCTGGTCCTTTTGAATTATCTTATGGATCACCTGTTTCTGATGCAGTAGTCACTATTGCAAACACACATGTGAATGAACATCATTTGGGTTAAACATAGGCTTTGTGCCAGCAGAGTCCTTGGCATCCTACACTGTTCAAGTATAGTGTTCAAAATTCCATGAGCCACTCACAAGAAGCAAAGGTCTTGGAGTAACCACTTTAAGCTGTTTTCATTAACTGGTCAATCAGAAACTGCATTGCATTAGGAGGACATTTTAAGAGCCAAATGAACAAAGATTTTAACATACCATATCATAAAAAAAAAATTAAAATTGCATTTACCTTCTTGGATTGCAGACTCGGGCTTAGATGATGCATTTCAAGATCCTTTATTCACTTTCATATTGTTGCAGTGCCTCTTTCAAATTCTCTGGCAAGGTGTCACAGTATGGTAGTGATAGGGCAGGAAGCAAAGAAAAAGATTCCTTCAGCATCTGGCCCTTGAGCTACACTGTCAGAATTCTTACCCCACCAGCACCTCCTAAGGGGGCCTTCATATGAAAACATCCCTGCTGAGAGGCCTCCTTCTGCAAGTCATCAAATTGCAGTCATTATCCCAGAACTGTAAGAATACACTGATTTGCACATCTATGAGGGGATTGGAGGAGAATGCTAAAGAGCTTTGCATGTATTAAGCAGGTAAACTGGGAAGCCCTGCTGCTGTTGTTCTCCTCCTACAGTAGTGCAAATTGAGGTGCTGAGGATTGTGTGAACTGGACCTCGGGCCAAATCCTTTGGGATACCTGGTTGCTTAAATACTCAGCGAGGTTCCTACTTGCAAGGTCATTGGATACCTAACTTTTCTTCATAGGGATGGCTATTCATATTGTCACCTTTTCTGACTCTTCAGGCTGTTATGTAAAATTAGGGCCTTGGGTGATCCTGTGGAGATCTGAAGGAACTGCAAGTTTTTTTTTTTATATTTTCTTATCTAAGATAGGTTATGGCTTGTGTGTCCTGTGTATCTCTTCTGTGCTTTGGTATTTGCCCTGCTCTTTAAATTTGACTTGTGCAGTACCTGGCCTTTCATAAGGCATTACCCTTAATTATTCTTGCTAGTCAATTACAAGTGATAAAGAGCAACTTGGGGTATGTGTATTCTTAAATTGAGAAAGAGTGAGCTTTTTTTTTCCCATTATATTCTCCATTGACCTCAGTATATATTTGGTTTATCTTCTTTTATTTCATCCAAGTGCCTTATTGAGGACAAGACTTAAAAATTGTATTTTATTCTTCTTTCTTTTGTTGTCTTTGAACCCTTAAAGGTGTTTCCCAAAGCTGTCACTTCCTCATGAGTAGGTGATTGTTTGTACTTGCCTTCTCTGTTTCACTAGTTCTGCAAAAGCTACAGGTTGTCTTTACCAAATAAAACTTCTGAGTTACTACAAATGTAGTAATACGCACTGTAAAGTGTAAAGCTACAAATGTTGCTTTGAATCTTTATGTAGAGAGACTACATACTAGTTCTGATACCTGTTAGTAGGTAGCAAGGCTACAAAGCCTTGAAGGTCTAACAGGTATCAGAACTGCAGATTTCTGCTTTTAAAGATGTGTGCTGTCATTTCTTTGTTCTGGAGGCAGGGGAAAGTACGTGTTTGAAAACTTAAATTTCCCTATTCCAGAAATAGAAATTCTCAGGTAATGGGGCTGTATTGATGTATGAATGAGATATGACAGTAGGGTATTACTGATACGAAATGAATTGCTTGATCTCAACAGTTTTAATAGCTAATACATTGCTTCTAGTTTTTATCCTGATCCAAATAGTGTAGTTTCATATAATATAATATAGAGCCTTGAAGTGGGACTTAAGGAGATACCTCTGGGGAAGGATTTTCAGTTTTTTTAAGATGTGCTAGTGGCTGTAATATACATGGGAAGATACGTTCTACTTAAGAGTTTGGTGGGGTTTTTCTTAAAAAAAAATTCAGATGAGACTTCCATGCCTTCAGCTTTCCTGAAAACAGTCTTTGAGTGTAGAAATACGGGTTTAACTACATTATTTTCATTATTGTATTGAAAAACCTCAGCTTGCTTTCAGAAGGTATGGAGAAAATGGGGCTTTCAGTGCTCTGGCTACACCATCATCTGTATTGTACATGGTGTAATTTCTTAACTGTATGAGAAAATGTACACCTTATACTTGTTGAAGACACCTACAGATTTCTAGATTCAGTCTGTTCTTGCAGCAAGGGAGGCCAGCAGCCTCTCCAGGCTGCGTCAGGAACCAGCACTCACTCATGAGAGACAGTCCTTCTTGAACTTCTTCAGTGTGCATGAGTCCTTTCCACAGGCTGTGGTTTTTCACTAACTGCTCCAATGTGGGTCCCCCCTTTCCCCCCGATAGGATGCAGTCCTTCAGTAATCAGACTGAACCATTGTGGGTCCCCTGTAGGACACAAGTTCTACTATGACCCTGCTCTAGCATGGGCTTCCCACAGGGTCACAACCTCCTTCAACCCAGCATGGGATTCTCCACAAACTGCAGGTGGAGTTTGCTCCACCATGGACCTCTCTGGGCTGCAGGACAACCTGACTCACTGGTCTGCTTGGGAATCTCTGCCCAAGTGCTGGAGCACCTTCTTCCTCTTGTTCTTCACTAGCCTGGGTGTCTCCACTGTTCCTCTCACATGGTCTAACACTCTTTGGCATGATTGCTGTTGCAGAAGGGTTTTTTCACATTATCAAATAGTGGTCCCATAGGTGCAACTACCATCACTGATGGGCTTGATCTTAGCCAGTGGCAGGCCCAGCTTTGAGCTGGCTGACATGGGCTCTGTCAAGACATGTGGGAAGCTTCTGACACCTTCTCATAGAAGCCATCCCTATAGCCCCTCCTGCTACCTAAACCTGGCCATGCAAAACCAGTGTGGTCTGACAGGTTCCTTTCCAAACTCACATGTCTTGTCATTCTCTATAGTGGGAGTGTGGTTGTTAGTAGAAGCAATGGATCCAAGGTGAACTTCTGTATGGGTGGCATGAAGTGGAGGGATTGGAGAAAGAATCTGAATAGCAATAAAGCTGGAATGCAGATGGGGTAAATGACTTAAGAAGAAAAGGGTATCACTGATAAGCCACTCATGCAGTAGCCACAGGTAAAGGACCTCCTGTTAATACTGAAGGGCATGAGAAATTCTTAGAATTTATTTTATTTATTTTTATTTTTATTTATTTTTAGAATTAGAAATTAGAATAAAAAGTCAGCTTTTTACTGCAAACCTGAGAAAGATGGTAGCAGGGAGGATTGTAGCCTGTCTTTGTATGGGTCTAAAATACTGCTGGAATTTGCTGTCCTCTCACTGGTGTTTCTCTGCCCTGGTAATTGATCCAAAGTCAATTGTAAATGTAAGAAGTTGGCCAGAAGCTAAAAATTTGAGTGTTTTTACACGGATTGCATTTTATCAAATAGATAAATGCTCATCTGTTGCTTTTAAGACCTGCTGGAGTTAGTAAGAGGAGCTGTAGTTACCTCTGGACAAATAGTACTGTTGTAGAAGCATTCATGTGTCCCAAGTTTCAATTATTCTTACTCGGAAGTCTTTGCAGTCAAAAGATTTTGCCATTGCAGTTGTGGGTGGGTGTTTGGTGTTGGTTTCTGAGGGTTGTTTGGGGTATTTCTTTCAAGTTAAGTTGGCAAGTGGATGAACATTACTATGTCAAAACTTTACATAATTCTACATTTTGCATTTTTTTTCTGAAATGGTGCTTACGTCTAGTTCTGTGTCTGTGGTCTTGAGAAGTTATACCGAGAAACAGGAAAATGGCTTTAACATGCAGCCAGAACAGCGGCTCTTAAAGGGTGCTTCCTAGCTTGCTCTTCCAGGATTTTCACCTGGAGTTGACAGCTGCAGGCTTCTTTTAGTACCAAGAGCCGTGTAGTCCCTAACTCACTTAGCAACCTTGGGCATTTGTCTTTTTTCAGCCAACGAATGCTGAAATGGGACATCTCCAGCTTGATAATGAGGGTTCGTTGTTTGGAATACGTGTTAGCCTGTATTTGCTTTGCAGAGAGGACACGAAGTGAAAAAGTTGCTAAATCCCTTATTCTTGAGTTTGCTTCCAGCCCCGGCCGCATCGCCCCTCTCTCGGGCGGGGCCCGGCAGTCGCCTCTGGGGCCGGCTTGCGGTGCGTTCCCCCATCCCGGGATGGGAGCGCGAAGGGCCGCGCAGGCTGCCCCCCAGTCGGAGCCCGTGGGCGGGGAGCTCCGCGGCGCGGGGCTGCGCAGGGACGGCCGGGGCGGAGGCGCCCTGGCGCCGGTGCCCGCGGAGAAGCCGGCCCGACTCTGCGGGGCCCGGGGCGAGGGGAGGCAGCCGGACAGTGTCCACCCCATACCGGGACTGCTCTGGTTCTCTGCCTCTCCTCTGGCACCTGATCGCGGTTCCGGTCCGTGCTCGGTGTTAGCGCTTGCGAACCGAGCCATCAATTGCCGTCGTGCCAAACCCCGAGAGGTGCCAAGTGCTGCCGGTCTGTAACAGCCTGCCGGGGCCGCCGCCGGCTCCGCAGCGGGTCGTGTAGCATCTGCTGGCGGGTTTGAACTCACTGTCTGCTTGTAGGGTTACTGGAAAGCAACTGGCTACTCGGGATTCCTTGCCTAATCAGAGGTGTTACCTCCTCCTCTTCCCCCAGTGTCTCTTGACATCATTTCATCCATCAGAGTTTCAGAGGAAAAAAAACACCAACCAAAGCAGAACCCACCCAGTCTGAGAGCAGCCCACACCAGCCCCTCAGTTTTGCCGTGACTGCAGGGAAGAGCTGGATCGGGGCAAAGATGAAGCATGGGAGCGGGGCTGAACTCCATGTCCTGAGGGATTCGGTGCAGCGCGAACCGAGAGGAATCCAGAGCGATGCACCAAGCGGCGTGCCCCGTATCCCGGCAGGGGATCAGTAAGCCCCGCGATCTTGTGTGGGGATGTGAAGGTGCTTGACCCACGGGAAAGAAGCAGCTCTCAAGGTGGGTTTGGCCCTGCTCGTCCTTCTTACTCCATGGGATTTCTTCTGTCCCCCGCAACTGACCTGATGTGGACCGAAGCGTTTCTAACATGAACTTTCTCTCTGGGATCTGGTGGTCTCTTCCCTTGGTTTTGGTCTGGGCGACCCCACCAGTCACCTCTTCATGGTGGTAAGCTTATAATTCCAGAAATTTTTATTTGCTCTTGGGGAAGGTGGGGTCGGATTAATTGTGAATTAGGGGAGGTGGGGGAAGCCTCTCCCTCTTAGTCTCGCAGAAGCGGAGCTCGCTGCTGCCAGCTGCTCCGGTCCAGAAAGTCCTGCCTTAAAGCGAGCGGATTTAGACGGTCCCGGCACCTCCTCCCACACCTCGTCCCCGCTCTCCGACCTCCTCCACATAAGCACAGCGCAACTGCGGGGGCTACCCGGGGCTTTGGGCAGCGGTGTGGGGGCACCGCCCGGCAGGGACAGCGGGCACCGCCCGGCCGGCGCTGCCCGGGGCGGCGGGGCCGCGGAGGGAGCGGGACGAGGGCAGGGAGGCGGGAGGGGAATACGCCCGAGGGGCGCGGGCGAAGCGCTGCTGCTGCTGGCAGCCGCCCCTCCGCGCCCCGGCGGCGCTGGGAATTGGCTACAGCGGCGCTACTTTTTTTATTATTAATTTATTTTTTCCTTCTTCTTCGCCCTTCCCCGCCCCTCCCTCCTTTACAGTTTCTCCTCCCTAAACTGCAAGCTGCCAGGGCAGCGGGCTGAGAGCCCGGCTGGCAGCGCAGGGCCCGGCTGCAAGTGATAGTTGATGTCGGCGTGGGGCGTCTCAGGCAGTTCGCTGCAAAACGCGTTAGAGTGGAAACATAAATCTGCCCCTCCAACTGGGGACCCCTACCAAGCCCAGGCTGGAAAGTCTTGGTGTAGGAGAGGAGTTAAACCTCTTCTTGTAATTCTGGGGAACATGTTTAACCTTGCCTCTGGCTGATGCGCGATCAAAGCCCAATTTATCAGAACATGTTTCAATAAAATAACTATCTGTGTCCGTAGTCGTATAAACGTTATTTATTGCGATATCTTTTTGTCATGGTGTCTTCTAAATGCCACTTAACTATATATTTTTTGGAAGTCACGGCTTTAACGATTTTATGATCGTATAAAATAATGAAAATTCAAGGAAAGGACATTTTCTTCTGTTTGATCCCTTCAAAAGACACCTATAGAAGTTTGGATTTTATGAAAGGTACCTTTCGAAACATTTCAGGACTAATAGAGACCATCTGGATACAGATGATGTAATTTAATTTTTTCAAGATTTGGTTTGTTGGTTTTTTTTTTTTTTAAAGTACTGCACGGATCTGCAATAGCGGGGCTTGGGGTTCTCCTGAATGCTTCACGTTATTAGGAAAAAAAAAAAAAAAACCAAAAAACACAGGGTCGATGACTAATTGTAAAGGATTTCCACCAAAAAGGCAGAGGTAGCTGCGGCTCGGGACCCGTCGGAGGAAGGCTTCGGGGCGCTGAGGACCCTCCTTCCCTCGGAGTCGGTGCCTTGGGCTCGGCGCGGGCCCCCGGCGCTGCCCTGCCCCTTCCCTCCCGCAGGTACATGGGCGCCGTGGGCTCGTCGCGGGTGATGTGCGACAACGTGCCGGGCCTGGTGAGCCGGCAGCGGCAGCTGTGCCGCCGGCACCCCGAGGCGATGCTCTCCATCGGCCGCGGCGTGGCCGCCTGGACGGCCGAGTGCCAACACCAGTTCCGCCGGCACCGCTGGGACTGCAACGCCCTGGAGCGGGGGCAGCGCCTCCTCGGCCGCGTCCTGCTGCGCAGTGAGTCCCGCGGGATGAGGGAGGGGCTTCCCGAGGGCTCGGGTGCGGCCTGCAGCCTCCGCGGGCCCAGGGAAAAGGGGTTTGGAGAGTCGGCGTGAGGGTACGAGTGTTTCTCAAAAGGGTTTGAGAAACCTCAGCAGGGGCTGTTCTGGGGCTGGCAACCGTGGGCAGTGTGCGGGAGTGATGCGAAGGGTGGCCATCCACCTGTATCCGTGGTCTTGGTTTTACATTTCAGGAGGAAAGGAAGAGGACATGCAGAGTAATTTTAGGGTTTCAGGGACAGCAGAACAGCATATATTATAACGTGAAGGTCTGTATTGCTTAAAAACCTATATCAAATCGGGGAGATAATGCGAGGTTTTGGCATGAACTGCTGGCTCTGCAGTTCTCCACTTTACTCTTTTGTGGGTTTTTTTGGGTTTTTTTTGTCTATTTGTTTGTTTTTGGGGTTTTTTTGGTGTATAATGGCTATCAAGCCCACATATTAAGGCCTACAGGGAAATTGAGGCATCAGAATGTGGCAGTAGGACAGAAGTCTTTCCATCACAGCCCAGCCTCAGGATACCAGTACTTGGGATGGGGCCTGCTGAAAGGGGCAGCTCAGGTGTGAACAGGAGCCCAGTGCATTGCGATGGCAGACGACAGACAATCCCTCCTGCAGGCCGGTTCCCGCTGCAGCATTTCGTGGGGAAAGCGCAGCAGCAGGGTGCAGTCCCCGCAGGGCTGTGCTGTGTGAGGGGTGAGGGCTCTGCGCCCATGCCGGGGCAGCACTGCCCGCCAAGGCACTGCGACATTTCAGGTCAGGCTCCGGGGGAGAAAGAAGCAGGGCACACACATCTGGTAGAGGTGAGCCAGGCTTGTGCAGACCCCGAGCAACTGAGGACTACATTGTGCTTCCCACGCTGAGGGAGGATGGTTAAACAGGGTGGTGGTGTCATCTGGAGGTCGGAATAAGGCAGCCTAGTGAGTCTTCAAATCTCAAATGTGGCCCTTTCGACTCAAAGAAATGGCAGGATTTGTTCCTGTGTCAGAATGTCCTTACCCGGGGGATAAACGTGCCGAGGTTCTTGTTAACTGCAGCTCTTTCCCCAAGTGCCACACCCTGTGCACATGGCCTTCCTTGGTGTGCAGCCAGTGGGGCTGGCCCTGCCCTGGCACTTGTGTCCCTGGAATCTAAGCTGTGAGCAGCGTGGAGGGGAGTAGGAAAGTACCCTGGGACCATTGCCCCAGCGGTGGGGACAGAGAGGAGAATGGCAGATAGTGGTGCTGATCCAAGCAGGGGGGTTTTCATTCCGCGCTAGGTTCCTCTGCTGGTTAGCCATTGGTTCCTGTTCCCTCAGCAATTATTTGTGAGTAACCAGTAACGTCACCCATCGGCTGAAGTTTTCAGGGAGGTTTTTCTGATATTCAGGAAAACATGTCTGGCAGAACATAGCCTAATAATGATTAGGCTATTAAAAAAAAAAAAGGAAAAATGCAGTTTTTCCAAAAGTGAAGTTTTCACTGTTGGCTCATGTGAGAGAATGACAGCATCAGGCTTCTGAGCTCTGCAGTGAGCCTGATCAGGCTGTGAATGCTATGGAAATGTAGCAAGATAGTGCTCTATTAAAACTGATAATTTCAATAAACTCAAAAAATACCTTTTCCAACAAAATAAATGTTTCTTTTTAATTAACACTTTACAAATTTTTGATACTTCTGAATAAGTTTTCTCAGAAATAAGTCCTCAAAAGAGCATGATTTGTAACAAGCCAGGGTAACTTCTGCCTGATTTTGAAGGCAGTGTAGGAAGCGTGGTTTTCCCAGTCCTTTTGTAAGCTTTTAGTTGCCATTTGCAAAAGGCTTGCACAGCATGTGGAAGTTCATTTGTAAGTTAAACATATTGGTGCTACTGCAATTGAAATACTAAATAATAAGTCCTGTGGTGTAATTCTGCCTCTATAAAAAAATCACAGTTAACATTTGTCTTTGGGGTCTTCTTTTACTGTGCTAACATTACTTAAGGCTTACAAGCCCTGCAAAGAGGTCCTTCTCAATGTGAGTCTTGTGCAAGATATTGCACAAAAATCTACTTGTCATTCTTCCTATGCTAAAAACCCTAAAAGTAGGAAAATATTCCATTTCCACAAATGGATTTGTGGTAGCGTAATGTAGCTTTGTATTGCAAACTACTAAATCTTAAAATAAAAGCAATTATTACATTGAAATATGTACCTAATCACCTATGAGTGGGCATAGTCTACAAATTCAGGTAATCTTTGGTATAATAAAGTATCTTGATTAGGAGATGGGAAAGCTGCCAGAGCAGCTGGCATGAAGAAGTCACAGCTGCCAGACCAAATCCTGCCTCAAGTATGACACAAGCGCTGCCATTGATTTAATGGAACTTATTTGTATGAATTATGGTTACGGGCTTGATTCTAGGCAGAAAACCTAATATTAACTTATTTTTCAGAAGATAACACCCAGGTTTTCTCCCTAGCATGTTTTAAGCAGGAAAGTCTACTTCAAGAGCTTCAGGAGAGGAAAATCTGGTTTCAGGAGTTACTTGCAGTATTTTGCAATATACATGATGTTTTAGTTTCCCTATTTAATAATTTCCTAAACTTATCTCTCAAATTGCACTTAATATATTCTTCCAAATTCTTGAAACATGATAGGAATGCCAGCTGTCCTATTCACATATCTGTATAAAACAACTGATCCATGAAAGTATATTAATCAATATCAGAAGCAAATCTTTAATATTTTCCAACTCTAACACTATATTGATGAACTTTTACCAGGGAGGGGTCCAAGTTTAAGCCATGACTAATTCTGGCTCCAGGGAATGTGCATTTGTGTGATTTCAGCCTATTTTATCTTTCTCTCTGCAAAAAAGTCCAGACTAACTGTCTGGATATAGGACAGCCACTCAAAGTAGATACCCCAATGATATTTAAAGTGACTTTTTTTGTTCCAGGTAGTCGAGAATCTGCTTTTGTACATGCCATCTCCTCTGCTGGAGTTGTTTTTGCCATCACCAGGGCATGTAGCCAAGGGGAGCTGAAATCCTGCTCCTGTGATCCCAAGAAGAAAGGCTCTGCCAAGGACAGCAAGGGCCATTTTGACTGGGGTGGCTGCAGTGATAACATTGACTATGGCATTAAATTTGCCAGAGCCTTTGTGGATGCCAAGGAACGGAAAGGAAAAGATGCCAGGGCGCTGATGAACCTTCACAACAACAGAGCTGGAAGGAAGGTGGGTGTTCAGGAAGGTAGGAAGGAAGGTAGATGCCTAGAGATGTTCTAGGACAACTCTCTTGTGTCTGGGGCAGTTAATGCTTGGCCCCTGCTGTCTGGGCTCAGCAGTTATGAAGAAATACAGGAAGAGCAGGAGCCTGAGCTGCTGTTTCTGTCTCCCTTGGAGGTTCTGTGTGACAGAGATCTACAAACAGATTGCCTAACAGTATTCCTGTTGGAGTCAATTCAGTCACTCCTTGTGTGGAAAGTTAAGCAGGAGTCTAAGCTGCAGGACCAGTTTGGATAGAGGTCTTGTTTTCAGCCTAGTTCTTAGATAAGCAGGAGTTTTATTTTTGGTTAATACAGAATACAAATTCCTAAGAGAGGCTGAAGATCACACTGAAGAACAGGCTTGACAAAAAGCAAATTCAAAATAACTCTTGAGAAAAAAGTCCATTCTGCCCTTTTATATATGTATATGGTAAACCTAATCACAAAGTGAGCAGAGATAAAATCTAATTACTTCACTTTTTAAGAAAAAAAGTCCAAAATACATGTCCCTCCAAAAAAGCAATGTCCTTGGAGCATGACCTACAATCCCTTTTCTAAACTTTGTATGAAAATACTATTCTTGAATTGCAGCTGAAAGAGTCTTTACTTTCACATTGTAGATAAGTAGGAGTGGTTGCCAGGTGTGTTGCCCATCTCTGGTGCAAGAGCTGAGGAATATCTGCACTAACATTTTGTGGTGGTAGCTATAAAAAGTAAGAGTAGTGCATGAGACTGTAATATCTGTTTCGTTATTTAAAACATGTTAAAAATTTGCTGCTCCCAGGACATCTGAAATAATAAGAGAAAAAAGTTTTATTGTGTAGACTGAGCACTTCTGGAATTATTTGTATAGACTTTTTGTGTCTTATCTTTGGTTTTCCTTAATGTATATTTAGTAGGAATTAAGTTGTTTGTATTCTGATCTTTCTTTGTACTGCAAGTAGATGATTTTCCTGAAAAATTTTTGTTCTTCAGCATCTTTCCTCCTTGCTGTTTATTGCCAGCAGGTGTAACTAATATTTAATGTAGGCAGATGAGGTTATTCAGATCAGTGATCGGCACACGCAGTACTGTGGTCATGTTTATGTTACTGTCCAAAAGAGGCTGAAGTCTACAACAAAAACAAAGATTTATTTTAGGGGTGAATAAGTTTCATGATGGGAAATCCTTTCTTTAGTATTTGAGCATCTTATAAAGTTTTAAAAGACACCTCTGCCAAATACTAAGGTAGTACTAGTAAGGTAGATTTTTAGAGAAAGGTCAAGAATTTTTAATAATTATATTCAATTAAAAATAATGAATATGTTCTCATATGCTCTAGGACTTGCTTTTTGGCCAGAGACACTGTTTCATATTCACAGTGCAGTGTAGTGTAGGTTTAGCTTTGCAGGGATCTCACCACCTCAGCTGCCCACAATCCTATCATTTTGACCTGGGTAAGACCGTCTGGGCCCTTTTTATTTTCTTGCCCCCAAAACGGGGTGTTGATAGATTTCTTTTAAAACAAGACTATTCCAGCTGTGTTAATTAAAAAATAAATAGAATAAATATTTATAATACTGCCATTTGTATAATAGAACATAATATGCTATATATCAGTATAGGAACATCACTGAAAAAAGAGATCTGCATTCCTTATGTGTTTCTTCCACTATTCCAGCAAGTTGTTTTAAAAATACAAATAGTTAAATTGATTTCTGTTCAGATAATTAAAACCAAACATCTGCTTAAATCCCAGATTTGTGATATGGCAATGAAATGGGGCTGTGGGAATGCCAGTGACTTCTTTGAAGTAGTCATATCATTTACAAGTTGGAAAGAAAATTAAGTTTTATAATACATTCTCACTTTATTACTAAGCGCTTGACTAAAAAAGGCTGCCCCACTGTGCATCAATCTCACTTCTAATCATGGAGATTTCTTCTCTCTTACCTTCCTCCCATGATGACATGCCTCTTGTACAAACTCTGAAAAGTTCATATTTCAGGAACCCTTAAGGCATAATATTTATAAATCAAATATCCATATCTACATAATTGGGCATGAATTATTTACTGTCTATGAACCCATGTATTGTTCTCCAACATCATACAGATAGCTTAAATGTCTGAGATGAAGCTGAAATGGCTTTAATGCTATCCAGATGTTAAATTAATGATAAGGGCGATCTCTCCAATGCAAACTAATGAAGGTCTTACTCTAAAATGTTTGTTAAAAGCTGTATAAGCATTTTAAGTGTACTGTATTTTGGAATTCTGCATAGATCTGTTGCCCAGCACAGGTACAATTCTTTACACAGTCATTTAAAAGTAATTTAAATATGAAATGCTTATGAATTTCTGGACAGTATTTGAAACACTGTTCAGGGTAAAGGGCAATTTCATGAAGCTGGAGCGGGTCAGAGGGTCAGCATGGCGATTCTGCGGCTGGAACAATGGGGAGAGGGGGAACCTTTGCCTCCTGAATGGTTCTGGCCGTTTCTGATAATTTCCTCCTGTCCAGTGTGTGTCCTAACACTATAGACCACCTCGATCCTTGTGATGAGTGGCAGGAGCAGGAAGGTAAGCCCACCAGTGGGAGGATTGTGTGTACGGTGAGTCAAGCAACCCGAGCAGACCAATCACATGGGGATGACTTGATGCTACCAGTGGGTGTCACTACAGACCGCAATTTGGAGACCCATCACACAGGCCTGGTACTACAAGATGGATGGAAAAGGGCTGAGAAGCAATTAATTACACTTTGTTTTACCTGTGTATATTTACATTTACCTGTGCATTTCTAAACAGGCTGTGAAGCGGTTTTTGAAACAGGAGTGCAAATGTCACGGTGTGAGTGGATCGTGCACTCTCAGGACCTGCTGGCTGGCCATGGCAGACTTTAGGAAAACAGGAGATTATCTGTGGAAGAAATACAATGGAGCAATTCAGGTGGTCATGAATCAAGATGGCACAGGTTTCACTGTGGCTAATAAGAAATTTAAGAAGCCAACTAAGAATGACCTGGTATACTTTGAGAGCTCTCCAGACTACTGTATCAGGGACAGGGATGTAGGTAAGCCTCTATCATTACATGTGAATATTTTTATTTAAGACATTTGTACTTCAAAGGTCAAAAATTATAATTTTACTGAGAGTGTGTGTATATGTGTATATACATATATACATATATATATATAAATAAATATATATATAAATCCATGCATGTAACCAGCAGGAAACATGAAAGAAGATGTTTTGGAAGAACTCAGTACAAGCACAATAGTTCCTTGATGTCTCTAGGTCTACAACAGCCAGTTGTTCTAATATAATTCAACAGTTTCTGCCAGATGCTATAGAGCCCTGGAGCTGCCGTAAGGGAAAGCTGCTTTCAGTACAAGTTTGAGTTGTGCTCTGGAGGCAGGTCCATACTGGGCAGAGCCACACTCACTCTTGTGCCACACAGCTTACTCCAGAGCTGCCCCAAGTCCCATGGTGTCCCTGTGATGCCACCTCCTGTTGCATTGCTTCCCTTCCACATTGTTTTGCTAGCACAGTGGTGCCCTTCTTCATCTGCACATTCCCACAGCTCTCTGTGACTGTGAACTGTGGGACTGGACTGTGTCCCCATCTAACGTGGGAGGTACAGCTTGTGCCAGCCCAGCCCTGCTTGCACCAGTCAAGGCAGCTGTGGGTAACATGGGGTAAGGCAGCTGGAGGACTGCAGGTGGATGAAGGGGGAGAGGCCAGTGGGATGCAGCACGCTCAGCTGGGTGACACAGCTGTTTATTCCTCTTTAAGAGGCAGTGTTGGCTCTGTCCATGACAACCATCACGTTTTTTGAAGAGTTGTGCCAGACCCCGTGGGAAGAGATAAAGTATTGGTGCTGCTGTTAACACTGGATTTTCCTGCTTCAGAGATTCAATAGAGACACAGTGTTACAGAATTCAAGGCATTGCCAAGCACCAGGAATCCTGGTGACTGCTCTTGACCCATGTATAGTATTTCCTGATGTGGAAATTAAAAACTAGCAACTAGAAAACCAGAAATTTGGAAAAGAGAGGCAGACTGAGTAATGTATGAGAGAAGTTGTGGAACTAATTAATAGGACCAGATTGCACCCCACATGATAAATCCTTAAGTATCTGGATAGCAGTACAGCTCAACTCCTTTTGGCACTGCTGCATGTTTACAATCCAAGTTTGCTTGGAATAAACATTTCAAAACAGCTGTACTTAAATAAGAACAATATGTGAATTCCTTGTCATGTACTGTATTGACTTCAATGAATCCAGAATTTCATCCAGTACAATTACATTGTACAGTGTTTCTGGTTAGTTAAGTCGCCAGCATAATTTTAAATGTTATTTATTATTTTGGCAGGGGATGTTTATTTGCTGCATGAACACATAACCATTCCTTGAATAGTGGCTGGTACTGCAAAGTCTAATCCATGTGAATAAATGGGCATATTGTGGGATCATGCAGATATTAACTTTGCAGACTAGGTTTTTTTTATTGTAAAAAACATGATTTCTTTTCCCCTGGAAGAAGAACTTTTACACTACCCAATTCTAAATCAAAAATCCATTTAATAATATCTTTGTACTAAGCCTAATCTCTTCTGTCAGTCTTGTTATTGTGGAGGAGAGTGGGCACTTTTCATCATAGTGTACTCTGTGCATTTGCCAGACACTGACAAGCCTGGCCAGAGATGGCAAAATCTGACATGTTTTTTGGCTCAGCTCAATGTAAGGCTGCAGCTGAGGTGGTGTTTCTTTGCTGCCCGGAATTCAGAGAATGTGGCTGTTTGGAAGAGCATATTTTTAGAAAACTGCAGTATACCTTTGATGGGCTGTGGGATGGCCTGCTGCTTGCATGGAGCAAGGAAAGAACCACACAAACAACCTGATCTGGATTTGAGTGAGATGATTTTGGTAGCTGCACCACATTTTTTTCATTTTTTGGTTTGCCCTGTAGAGCATTGCAGAGTGCCAGCCCTGTTAAATGACTGCAAATGAAATGAGATTATGGAAGTCTGAGTTTGGAAATAGGTGGGGAGCATCTCAGTGTCAGCTGAATCTAATACCACAATGTATGTCCTTGAATACAGCTCTGCCTTTCATTCTCCAGAGAATTCAAGCAATTTAGTGCTTCAGGAAAAAAAAAAATATCTGGAGATTGGTTAGTATTGGAGCTGAATGAAGGATTCACAGAGCAAACCTTATGAAGCATCATGACTTGACCAGGAGACAACTTCACATATTGTAAAATGTCCAAGCCAGTGTCCTCTGTGGCTTGATTGTGCTAGCACATAGGAACCAGGGAGTTAAAAGTGCTCAAGGATTCTGCCATCAGCAGCCTACCCAGGAAAAAAGCAGATACCTTCTCTTTCCCCACTGGAGCTTCCACCCTGTCTACCATTCTCTCTGAGGGTGCAGCTGGACATAAATACATGGAACACCCCAAAATGTAGTTTGTTTGTTTGTTTTTTCTCTAGAAAGGAAAAGAGGAGTAATTGATTTCAGGAGGGGTGTAATATAGGAAATCACTAATAGTAACTCAATAGCAAGATAAAGTAATAACCTGACCACCTCTTTTCTTGCCTTAATATTTCACACAGGACCAAATGGAGATTTTTCAGAAATGTTCAAAATTAATTTAACTGTGCACACATAACTCTGCTGAAACAATGTTTGCTCACAATTTCATACTCAAAATTAGATAGAAGCAGAGACAGAACATCCCAGAGAGCTTTTAAAAATCATCCTATGTAAACTTCTGTTTTTATCAACACATGGCCATCTCTTCAGTGCTGGCCTGGGAAATCCCAGCCCCTCCAGACAAAGCTGCCTCCAATGTGTGCTGCCTGTTCTCTCCAACCCTTCTGAACTGGGTGTTGTCCGTAAGATCCAGTAGCTTCAGAGCTACTTTTATGTGAACATTTCCTTTAATTATTTTTCCCCAAGAGCACTTCTGAGGAAACTGTCGTTGGGTATTTCACTGGTTTTGCACCTTTTTTTTTGCTTTTGTTGTGTATGTGTGTGTGTGTGTGTGTGAAAGTCTAATAATTGATGTTATTGCTTGACACCAGATTTTAATCAGTAGAAGCTGAAGGAAAAAGCTCTCATTATATACTAATAAATACATTTTAGGGCTTTAAGAATGGAAAGAAAATATTTTTCAACATAACACATGCTGATTTCCAAAAATAACTGTGCAAACCAAGAAGAAAGGACTTGATGTACAGACTGTGAAATTGGCAGTATGAAAAGCTGTGGATGTTTTGGCCGGTAGAATGTGTGTAGGCATGGCAGTTCCAACATTTGAAATGAAAACAAAGAGATTGTACAAAAACTTTTTACAAGTTAGAACCTACTCCTGCCTCATAAGTGCTGAGGAGGTCCATTGCAGGTAGCAGGCAGAAAACTCTGCCTTATTTTGTGCAATGTCTTCTGCTGCCTTCATCACTTGGGCCTGCCAAGGAGCGCAGTAACTTGTCTGGCTCCTCACTGCTGGTTGTAGTTCATTTTCCTTCTCACTAGAGAAGCTGCAGAGATTCTGAAGATTTGAACTTTAAAAAACGCTTGGTTTTGCTCAAAAACTAAGCCTTCATATGAGCTTGTTTTCACTTTTGTCACAATCTGTGGATTAATCCTGTTAAGTCTCCTGTTCTAGCTGTGTAGTAAATGTTGATGTTTTGTGGTCAGCATCAGATGATACCAGTTTCTGACTGTCTGAAATAATTTTGTTTTTTAAGCTAGGACAAAACTCCTGTTGAAAGCAGTGGATACATCCTGCTTAGGTTGTCCTTCAGTGCTGTGTGATTTCCCCTTACATCTGGAAATAAGAACATTTGACTTGAAAACTAACTTGTGCCTGGGCTGTGGAATGTTGTCAGACCTTTCTGAGCAGCTCCTGATGGATGTGGGGGAACATGGGGTCTTCCTTCACCTCCAGCAGCCAAATGACACAGCCCAACTCTGCTCCTGGTTAGGAGTTCTGCTGAGGTGGAGGGCAGCTTTGTTTTTCCTCCACTGGTGTGAATTTCTGATACGGAATGTTAATCACGTGGGTCACAAGCTTGGCCTTTGTACTGTTTCTTTGGTCTGAGCAGAGAGAGCAGGACAAGTGCCTTTAAAGGTTCTTCATGGAATCAATTAGGTTGAAAAAGACCTCTGAGATCATCAAATCCAACCTTTGAGCGAACACCATGTCAACTAGATCACGCACTAAGTGCGACATCAAGTCTTTCCTTAAGCATCTCCTGGGCCAGTGATTCCACCCCCTCCCTGGGAAATCTATTCCAGTGTCTAATAACCCTTTCTGTGAATTTGGTTGTATTTTGCACAGCCTGGGCTGTGATGCATATTGCTGTGGGCTGACACAAACAGCATAACTTACATTCAGGTATCCCAGCTGTTTGCTCAGCATCATGGATGGAGGAGAGTGTGATGGCTGGGAAGCAGGATCTGGCTTTTATTCTGCCACAGGCTTCCTGTGGGACCACAGGTGCATCATGTAGTTCTGCATGGCCAACTCCTCAGCCTCTGGGGGCACTGGGGGCCACTGGAAGCCTCTCTGCCCCCATAATGGAGTGATTCCTGAAAAAAAGATCTGGGAAAGGCTTCTTGGCATCACATATGCCATTAGTTGCCACGGTGCAGCTGGCTCTGCAGGGAGAACTGCACGGCTGAGGGCTTGCTGGGTGTAGTGTGTGCCCATGTGGGTCACTGCTGGGGGACCCTCTCCTCTCTGGGCCTTCCTGCAGGGGATCTGGCACTGGCTATAGGGACAGCAGGCCAGGAGAAGGAGTTACTGCTGGTTTCCTGGTGCAGGGTGTCCCTGATACACCACATCACTGGTTGTTACAGCCAACTGAGATGCTCCCCCAAATATCAGGGGCTTACTTTAAAGCCCATCTCCCCAGGGATGTTAGGCAGAGCATTGGTCCATAGTCAGCAGCATGAACATGCTCAGACCCCGCCAGAGATTTGGGATTTATCAGGCTGCATTTTTCTGGCTCCATTCAGTGTGTTTTCTCTTCCCTCTGTCAGTTCCCTCTGGGGTGGCCTGGCAGCACCTTTGCAGCTCAGGATCCTGAGCCAGGGCCAGGGGCTGGTGCATGGCTCTGGGATGGACGGCCGTGGGCACCTGTGCTGAGCTGGGGGGCTGGTGGCCACCAACACCCTTCTGCTCTGCCTGCAGCAGACATGAGCCAGCCACTGCACAGAGAAGCTCTCCGGGTGTATACCTCTACCCAATGAATATTGAAATATTTAAATAAATACAGGAATCTAGGCCATTGGAGGGAAGCTGAGATGTGTTCTAGGGGCTGAAGCACTTCTCCAGGACAGCAGTTGAAGACTGTCCTAAATTTGGTGCAAAAAGAGGAAAATTTGCACGCCTGTGGCTGAGAGGCTGGGTGATGTGTCAGTCCCATGAAAAAACAGTTTGAGAAGGTGACTTTGGTCGGGTTCCTGAGATCCCTCATTGCATTCATTAGTGGTTTGGGGTCAGCCCCCATATAATATAAGTCTTCCTGATGCTGGGGAGGCAGCAAGGGGTGGAGACACAGTGAAGACTTGTATGTTATAAACTGCTTTGAGACAGCAGCATCAGTGCATACAACCATAAATCCACTGCAGGGAAAAAAAAAAAGAAAATTGGAATTTATTCAGCTTAAATTATTAATAATTACAATTTAACTGCAGTTTACACTTTTATTAATTAAGATTAGTTTGCTATCCTAGCTCGTGCAAATTTTAATTACTATTTGCATGTATTTGTTTTCCTTAAGAATGTAAATTGTTCATGTTTGGTGTGCACCTGCAAATACACATTGTAAAATATTTCGTTAATTTACTGACCACAGCCTTTACTTAGGGAATATCACCTTGCCCAAGACGAGAATGGAGTTGTAATCAGGTCTATGGAAAATGTGAGAAGAATGTTAATTTTTTGGATATATCTGCATTTGATTCATAATAGCAATACATAGGAAATTAGATGAGGCAATTAATTTTTATAAGGTTTTCAGATTGGTGGTAATAACCTGTCAGCAGCTGTAGTATTGATCCTAAAGTGTACCTTAAAATCAGTTTGTGTTAGATGAACAGTGGTTCCTATGCAGTACAGTCACTGTTCGGACTAAGATATGCCTTACAGAGACATTTTACACCACGTGGATATAGGTACAGGCATTTCAGCCACTCCTCCTGAGTATTTCAAGAACATGACAAGGTGTGGTATGGTTCCTCTCCTCCTTTCTGTCCACAGCAGACTGTAATTTTTAATTACAAGTTTCTTGTAATCTCATGAAAGGAGAGAAGAACCCTTGGTATTACCCCACAGAGACCTGAATGGGTAGAATGGGGCCTGTGGGTGGACACAGCAGCGATGCCAAATGCTTCTGCACTCACTTCTGCAAGACTTTACTCATTGGCAGCACAGTTACTTTACCCATTGAGTCCCTCGCAACCATCAAACTTTGTGGTCTTCTCTTCCCTGCACACCCAGAGCTCCTCAGCGAAGCCCATGAGATCCCAAGCACCACAAGGATGCTCCACCTGGGCATCCCATTTCAGACAGTCCTGGGTGCAGGGAGCAGGACTGCCTTGGGAAGGATGTCTGCTCTTTGGAGGGGTAGAAAGTGCCAGGGAAAGATGAAGCAAAATGCGATGATATTAACAGAATCAGGCAGACCCTTTAAGTATTTCATCCATTTTATTCCTCCTCATCTCCAGGCCTGATTCCTAGGGGAAATATGGGAGCAATTTTACATTTATAGGCATTTCTCTGGCTTGATATTGAATCCTGGGTGATATGATGTTAAAGGATCAAATACATCGCAAATTATGTCTCCTATGCCTATTTTCATATGCTTACTGTCCTTCCTTAAAATCCACCTCCTGACCTTTGCTGCGCTCCCTTTGCAGGTTCCCTTGGGACAGCTGGTCGGGTGTGCAACCAAACCTCGCGTGGCATGGACAGCTGTGAAGTGATGTGCTGCGGGAGAGGCTACGACACCTCCCGCGTCAGCAGGATGACAAAATGCGAGTGCAAATTCCACTGGTGTTGTGCTGTGCGCTGCCAGGACTGCCTGGAGGTGGTGGACATTCACACCTGCAAAGCGCCAAAGAGCGCTGGCTGGATTTCCCGGACATGACGCACAGGCTACTGATGCTGAGGACCACAGCCTTTGCCCTTCCTGGCCCATGCAGGGAATGCATCAGAGGTCGTTTTTACTTTTATGCCTGTTTTGCCTTTGTTGTTCATTGCGCAGAAGCTGCTGAAAAATTGATATAAACCCTGCAGCATTTACTTCGCATTTCTGTATGACAGTGTTGCTGCAGAGTTGTCTCCGCATGAACTGATGCAGCTCTGGAAGGATGTACTTATGCCAGGACTCTCCTCCAGAATCCAAGTGGCAATTCATTCCTGCCATCAGGAACACAAGAAGATAGAAAATATGGCACTTTTACAAGATCACCACCACCAGCTGCATGGACTAGGCTTGCTCAAGCATCTTCTGAACGATCTTGGGCAGGTCATAGTTGAGTCCTGGATACCAAATGGCTCAGGAGTTTGAGCACTGGTTGGTGATTTCCCCATGACAGAAAATTTGCAGCCAGATTGGTGAAAAACTTAACTGGAAGGTGTTTGTTCGTCCCTAGTGGACTGGAGTTTCCAGTAAAGTGGCCACCTGAGGCCACCCTGGCCACCATAAGCCCACTGTGGCTTCCTGTGGGGCAGGAATTGGCCCATGGCCTAAAACAAAGGAAACTGCAGGAGATGTATTCAGCCACAACACTTTGATGAACTATTGGAATCAAAGAAAATGTCACAGTTATATGTTTGTGAAAACTTGCCTTAAAAGCTTTTAAAAAGTAATGAATATTAACTGCTGAGGATTTTTTGTTTCCTGACCTGAAGGATTGAAGAGAATGGTTTTTCACCCTAGTGAAATCTGGGTACAGGACACTCGACTAGCTAAGGATTAGGTTTCTACTTTTTCACCTACACAATAGTGGAAAAATGTTTGTGAACAGTGTTGGAGAAGGAAATGCCTTGCCTTAGTAATGACTTGGATTCTAAAGTAGTTACCAGCTTCTATGTTCTTTTAAAGTTAATAGATCTATTAAATGTGCTCAAAATTATACTTTCTACTCAGATGGCAAAATTTGAATTAGATTTTTTTTGCATATTTTCTGCAAAGCTGCATGCCTATGATGAGTGTATCAGCTTGCAATGGAGGCAATTACAGGTTGTGCCAGGTCCATATGCTGGGCTGGGATCAGCACAAAACAACAAGTTGCTGTAAAGATGTGCAGGCTTATGAGGCCCAGAAATTGCAGCCTTGGTGGAAAGGAACCAGGTCACAGAGGGACCAGCTGTCTCTCCTCAGGGCAGAGATCAGCAACATGAACCAGAAGAAAAATGGGCTCTGTACCAGTAAGTATAAGCCTCTGAAAAAGAACCCATGAAAAGTAGAGACAGGCAAGGTAATGAAAAAATAACATAGGAAAAGGAGGTTTTATGAGTGATAGAACACATTGTAGATGAAGGTGAAATTTCCATGTGAAAACAAAATAGACTGGAAGAACCCTGCAGGTACAAACAGTGCAAGAAAAAATAATATCCAAGTAGCTAACCAGGGCAATAAAGTGAATACTCTGTGTATGTTCTGGTTTTGGAACTTTCTTAAAAGACTATTTAAAAAGAAGGGTGTTTGGCATTAAGTGGCCTTGAGGGAGCAGTCATGTACATCTGCAAGGCTTTAAAAAAAGTTTATATAATTAAAATGGGCAATTCATCTCCAGAAGGCACAGCTGGTGTTAAAAGATTAGGAGGCTCCAGAAAGTTCTTTTTTGGACAATGAGATAATGTTTCAGTTAGTGTATATGGAAATGATCATGGCTAGAGGTAACAATCATCACACTTCTGTCTAAAAACCAACTGCTGTTGGGAACAGCCCTGCCCACGTGTCCCTGCACGTGCAGTGTATGTATAATGTGTATTTATGTGCCCACAGGCAGCTCAGGGCTTATACTGCTGGCCTCTTCATTGCTGCCAATTCTGGCTCTGGGCTGGATAAGGAAAAATTCATATCTAATTGTATTTAAAGGTGAGCTCCAAGGAGAATTTTTATTGGGATTTCACTGTGAAATGAAATCCACATGTAGTTTGTAGCCTCAACGATATCATACTTTAAGCCTTAAGGAATTTAAAAGCAGTATAATAATTTTTAACCTTTTAGAGCCATTTTTTTTTTTTTTAAAAGATTCAGGGAGCCTGAGTGGTCTAAAAGAACCTATTTAATAAAACTGAAAATATTTCAATGTTCTGGAAAAAAGAAAAAAGGCTCATTCTTACAAGAAAACTTGTTCTAGGTAGTTGAATGAAGGGTAATGAAATCAGATCTCTTCTTAAATATTCCAGAAAAATCAACTCACCTGAATTCTGCAGTCCCAGATAAAGTGTTTTTGAGTCACTGTATTAAAAGTGTATTAACTTTTATTCCCAAACCTGGTCCTCCTCCGCTAAGGCACATCTTCCTGTTCCCAACCTTCCTCTGGATCAGAGACCTGTGGTTCCTGAAGGCTGGTCTTACCAGTAGGACCAGGAAAATGGGGGCATTGAGTCCCTTGGCCTTTTCAGTGTCCTTTGTCACTCTGTCCAGCAGCAAGCCCACTCAGGTGTGCACAGCAGGCTGATGTTCCCATTTTGGGCATGTGATAAACCGTGATGCAATGCCTGCATCAAAACCGCTTTACCAGAGGAAACCCAGAATACTTCACAGCATAACAAATGGGTAAATGCTAAGCTGGTCACTTACTTGATGACAGTTTTTTCTGGATTACTGTTTTTTGGGGTTTTTAAGAGCTCAAGGTAGACTTCTTACAGTTGTAGGCATTTCTGCTGCCTCTTCCACAAAGAAATGCACTCCCAGAAACTTCTTCTGTTTCTTATTGGCAAAAAACACTTAAAGATGTAAATATCACTAGAAAGGCCCCTCCATGATCTTAAGCAAAGCCAACAAAGAATATAAGAGGGGAAATAAAAGAGGAAATAAAAAAAGAAGAAACAGAAATAGACATGGCAAATGAAATAATACTGTAGTTTTGTTCTATGGAATAAATTTATTCATGTATTTAGTCATGAAGAGGAAACAGCTGTCTCTGGGTAGACATTTTAGTGTCAGAATAATGTTAGCTGAAGCTAAAGGTTGTAGGATTATATTTTTAAATATGCAGTCCAATTTTCTCGAGGGAGTTCCCTTTAATTTGCTGCATGAACTCAGGATCTAGCAGCGCCCTGAAAAGCCGTTAGCCTGCCAAGCATTTTGGGATTGCTCCCTCCCCACTATTTTCAGCAAACTTTACCCTAAAAAGTGTGTTTGGCTGTTATAGGTGAAATCTTGTAAAAAAAAAGTTTAATTTTCTTTTACTACATGGAAAATGAGGAATGACTTAGCAATGGTGGAGTATATTAGGGCATGTGGGCATTGAAGGTTGAGAGATTGCTGCTTTTTCTTTTCCTGGAAAAATAACACAAATCAATTTGTCCATCTCTTCCTGGCCTCCCATCCCCGTGTGTATTTGTTTGCAGATGTGAATTAGAAATAAAAGGCTGCATTTCTGGTCCTGTGCTGCACAGCTGCTGAAGGGCATCCAGCTGCATGCCCACACCACAGCTGTTGGTTGCTGCCTGCGGGCTTCATGTCCAGCTTGTTCAGCGGATGGTGGCAAGGGGAAGAGGAATGTTTGGGGATTAGTGAAGATCTGGATCTGGGGAGGGTGCTTTTGTTAAGAAAAACTAGCTTTTACTCCCCTGTGGCAGCACAAATGTACCGATGCTCGCTCTTCTCCGTGGCGTTTGTCCTGCACTCTTGGGAAGGGCTTTATGCAGGTGGTGGCTGCATCCAAGAGCAGAAGTGGTCTTGTGGTCACATGTCTCAGCCTGCAGCTTTTACCTGCCACTTCAAATGATAGAAATGAACTTATATTATTATCAGAAAGACAGAGGCAGCTCATGGGCTGTAACCACAAACATGATTTTGGGTTGTTTCTTTTGTGTAACAGCTCATTTGCCTGGGGAAATGGATGCAACTTCATAAAGTTAAGATCTCTTGTGAGAAACGAGCAAATGCATATGAATCAATACATTGACAGCTCCCTCTGTGGTGGGAGCTGGGCAGGAGCCCTGCTGGAGGCTGGGTGGAGCCAGGGCTACATTTTGCAATCTGCTGTAATTACAGCCACTGAAGTTTTCAGGGCCACCATAGGGTGACAGCCAAGGGGCATGTGCAAGTGGTGCAGCTTCCTTTGGATGCTTAGCTTCTGCAGGTTTCTTCAACGTGGCAAAACTCCTGATACTCCTCCTTTCTGCTAGGGTAAGGACTTCCATGGTCTGGAAAAACAGTCTGTATGTTCACCATACACACCAAATGATGAGAGGGAAAGCTGCAGCTCTCCCCTTGGTGTAGCACTCTGAGTGCAGTTCCTGCCAGGGAGCAGCTGTAAATCTGTCCAGTGGGAGGAAGGGACAGAAGGGGACCATATTGACTTGGCACTCCCAGGGAGGTCCTCCCCTTTTTTTGTTCTATGCAGGTTATAGTGTAAAGAGATAATGTGCATACAAATTCTATTGAGTTGTCTTTAAAGAAAAAAAATCAGGAACTGCTAACATTTGAAGTTAAAAAGCTTTCTCCACCCCTAAATTTGAAGATGAGTTATTATCTGAACCAGATTTCCACAAGGCTCATCTCTGCACTAAGCCAGAGGCTTTCCATCATTATAATCATGGGCTGTGTTTACTTTTTCATCTAAGCCATACTGAACTTCACAGGAAACATGTCAGAGGCAGCAAAGCCTAAGGCAATAAACTCTGCCCAATGAAAATCCCTTTGTCAGTTTTGCCTAGTCTTCCAGATGCCTAGAATTATAATTAAAGAGAGATTTTTCTAGATAAAAAATCCATGTCACATTACTGTTTATTAGGGAGATAGATACTAGAAATAGTAGAAATAGAATTGCATAAAGGTATTTTTGAATTCTTAAATATTCCCCATAGTTCAAGGAAAGGATGTGATTCTTCCAGGAGTTAAGCATTCCTGTTTATCAGACTATTACAGATAGTAATTCCTACACAGATCATAGTATCTTTGAACAGAAGGCCAAACTACTGCCAGGTCTCACTCTTACAGCTGATTTCTTCTAGAATGGGGCTGCCTTTTTAAAATCTCATAGCACAGCAGTATTTACATGGTACTTGTGCTCACTTGAACAAACATCTGTCTTCTACTAGACTAATGTGTCTGCGATCAAGGGAACAAAAAATAACATAATGCATCTTCTGTTGTTAAGAAACACTTTCCTTTTATACCAGTTCTAGTACTGGGAGTTTTGTCTCTGCTCACTCATTTCCTCATTGATTAACAAACCTATCTGCTAGGGATCACAGTCCCTTAAACTGCTCAGCATTTTAAGAGCAACAGCAAAGTTGAAATGGTAAAGTGGCATTTTTGATCGTCTGCATCAGGGTTATGCTTCCTTATCTGGAAGGTCAGCTGGAAAACAAATTCTTGAGGCATCTGTAAGGATGCACTTTTAATTCTTGACAGGGGACTATTTGCTTCAATTTCCAAATCAAAATCTTCATTTTAGAGCTGGCCTCGGAAGTTTCCATGGACAGTGACTATGTCATAAATGAATACTTAGTCTAAACAGACACGGCACAAGGATAAGATTTCCTGAGGTGAGCACTAATAGTGAAACACCAGCCTCTCTATTAATTGTGCATGAACACCCATTTTGCTAATGAACCTTCAGAAGGTACCTGAAACACTGGGGTGTGAAGAAAATCTGTCAAGTATGTGGGCTTGAAAATTCAAACGAGGATACAGTGACCTCTGTGCAGCGAAGGGAATCAGAAGCCCAGTGTGCCATCCAAACTGCCTGGATTGTTAAACACGATTAACAAAAAATTGTTAAATTTTTAACACATTGTTAAAAAACAAAATGTAGAATCTGTGTTCTGAAAAAGTCAAAAGACAGCAATGCTACAATACACAAAAGTTTATTTTTTTCTTTTCTGAAGGCAAAATATAATAGAACCTAACATCAATGTATTTTGTACAACAAAACAGTTTTTATATGAGAACAGACAATCCATGAAGAATTTTTAAGTCTTAGAACTGCTTCCCTTTTTATCATGCTTTCTTGTGGTCAACAAAAAGTTGGCACAGAAGATGTCATGGCAGTCAGTCAGCAGGCATGCTCCCTCAGATCCTTGTCAGCTGGTGCCACAGGCTGGAGGGCAGGATACTTTCTACTTTTTCCATCACAAAATTTAAAGGGGCAAAGAGGGTGCTGAGAAACTGCAAAGAAATAAGATACACATTCAGAACAAAATCCAGGAGACAATATATCTCAAGAGAAAGCTGTTCAATAAGATATTCTTGCTGTGTTCCTTGGTAAAGTCCTCCAGCATGATAAAAATGACATAATTCACACATAAAGACTTAAATTCTTGAGCCTTGCATATACAGAGATTTCTGGATTTTGCAGCAAAGAAAGCAAGAGCCTCATTTTTACAAAGATCAAAGTGATGAACTGTGAAAGTTTTCACACATCTCACATCCTAGAT